TGATGATGATGATGATGATGATGATGATGATGATGATGATGATGATGATGATGATGATGATGATGATGATGATGAACAGTGGCCATCTGTTTCCAAACGCCCCATCGTAAAATACAATAGCATAGCAAATTTATCACCACGACATCTACTTAACGGTGTTTTGCGTTCATTTTACGCTGCCTGCCCTGATAGTCACTTATTCCCGTTTAGTCAGACTTTCTTTTGTAAAACGCTTTTATCCAATACGCTCTTGTGAACACAGTTGTGTTGACGCTTGCCGTGTATAACTGGTTTCAGCCGTGTGTCAGGTATCCTCTGCAGGGCATGTTGCGACACAATACAGAATGTGATGATATAGGCCCGCCTATAGTCAGCAGAACAGGTTTTTCAAATTGAGAGGAAGAGGTAGATTTCCAAATAAACCCCCAAATGACCAACAGAATAACAAGAACTAAAATCCTATTGGTCAAAATCGCCGATGTCTGTAAACGTTGGTTGAATATCTGAAGCCTACATTCATGGAACTCGTGAAGTGGGGACAAGAAGCGCGAGAGGTAGGAGTGGAAATAACATGATGTGATCGTTGGTACTTCACCGATCGAGTCAGAGCAAGCGCACAAAAAGAGTAGTTAGTGTTGGAGAGGGAACAAACGTGGTTCTCAGCCACGTCGCCTGTGTTTTCGCTGGCCGTTTAAAGCTGATTAACAATTAGCGAACATACAATGAAAGTCAGCAGATGAAGCAAGTTTATTGTCTGGAGCTGACGTAGCTACTTGATTTTGTTTGAAAGCTAAGCCTTTGATGATGCATTCCGTACTTATCACAGAATGGACCAAAACAGATAATGATCGAGCATACCATGCGGGTGTGATCTGGGCTTGAATTACTACCAGCTCATGACTCTTCTCGTGAACGACATTCCAGAATACGGTAGTTTTCATGACCCAAAATTGTCCATTCTAGTGTACCAAGATGATGCTGGCACAGAAGCACTCCAGGTCAAGCCTGGGCTAACAAACATACGCCATGTGGATGTGCCTTGGGTTGGACCCATAAGTTATGCTAGACCACACTAGAACCGACATGAACGCCATCTCGGGTCCCCCGCCAGACTATTCTCATCCGATGACGGTGTGAGGGGACTCGCTAATTTTCACTGGAAATTTCGCCCTGTAAGTGTAGCTAATCTATGCTGAAATGCTGAGGAGCACTGCAGAGCCCTTTCACCTCTAGTAAGTATCATCAGAGGTGCAAACCCTGGGAGTTTCGAACCTGCCACCTTCTGGTCAGTGTTTTGCCACGTGTGGTTGGTCGGTATTGTGGGGCATTTCCAAAGAGAGGGCACAAAGCACCACTCATCGTTCAATAAAGTGGTCTCTTAATGACTAGCTGCTTGAGGAGAGGCTTCTCAGTAATAAGTTTACTCATATATTTGTAATGTACTACTCATAAGGTTGCTGAAAATCCATCAGCAACCTTATGAGTAGTACATTACACATATATACATGTATCGCGATATTTCAAATATCGTAGCGACTGAAACATGAGGCGGCCTGGTGCAGCACATTCAGTTGCCTGAGAACATCATAAACGAGAGATTCAGCTGGGTTCCAGGTGAGTCTCTCGAAAGAACCAAATTAGTTTGCAGACGAGGGTATATTCGCTAAGTTTACTCATCTTGTGAAATTGTTTTGTTTCTGAACTGTTTATTGTTTCTTGTTGATATGAAGAGACTTGGCCCCTTTTGCCTTGCTCCTTATGCCGAGACGTTGGACATGAACCATTGTACAGATCAAACTGACCACCATCTTACACTCGATAGCCACTTGTCTTTCATGGGTGCATCTGACGATTGGTGCGAGGACAGTGTCCCCGAAGATTGTTTATCTTTTACTTGTCCCGGGCCCAGAATCAGTTCAGAATGAAAAAAATTCACCTTAACTAAACTTTTCTTGTTTAAATATGTATTTGAAAAATCGTGAATAATTTTACGATACGTGGTGAGTAACAACTCCGTGAGGTAGCGATGACTACCAAACTATGGGCTGAGAGGTTTACAAGCGAGAAATGAAAAGCAGTATCACCACAAGGACCTACTAGTTCTGTTATCAAAACTTTGTCGTGATTTTACAGAAACACATGTTTCAACAATACGTGGTGAACTCCTTGGAAAGCGTACCGAAACAAAAAGGATCAAACTCTCTTGGGAAATAGAATAGACCAATTAGCTAACTTCGGCTAACAGCTAGAGAACTAATTCTAGAGGAACACTGCAACCAAACAGAGTGGATGGGTTTAGATGGAAGATGTGTGACACGAGGGTTCATTTTTTCAGAGAATCAGGTGCTTCAGAATTTGCTCGGCGACTTACAGTCTTACGATGCAGTTTTGAAGGGGCCAGAGAGCTCACTAGCAGTGTTTGCTCTCCTTTACAGTGTGTTGTTTGCCTATTCAGCGAACTCTTTGTGTATTTGTCTTCCTTAGTCTGCTTCCAAGTTAAGAACCGCACATATTGGACCAAAGTGAGACCTTTAATCTTGTAGCAGTCTTGAAGAACTGTACACTGCACATCTTTACTGAGCACACCTATTTTCATCACTGTGTTAGTCTTTCTTAAACAATGATCAAATGGGGCAGGCTGGCAGCTTTTTTTAAAGGAAATTTAGAGGTTAATCCACAAATTTGTTTCTCTTCACTCAAATGAGTGGCTTCCCCCGGGAAGCGCTCACTCTCCTCCTGCCCCACGAAATGATCACTAGATGGACGGACAAATGACACGCCCAAAAGGGATCAAATGTTTTGGCAAACTTTTGTCTTACCACCCCTGACAAAAATCAGCTCGCTCGAAACTCAAGAAACGCATGTTAATTTATTTTGGTTTAGCCACAGCCAGTCTGGGTCATCTAATTCGAAGTTTAATTCATCTAAAAACTTGGAATCTTTGTACAAGTAAGAGAGGCTTGTTGATGCATACTTTAATGGACTTGGGATATGGGTTCAACAGACCATCTGGGCAGTAGTTCAGCACGTGATTTAGCTGTATCACTCGGTGACAATTCACCTGCTTAGGTATAGAATCATCTGTGATGACCTGATTTGTTTTTGACAGTCTTATGTGAAGTTTGATCTGATTGGTGTTGCAACATGGTTTGAAACGTCTACGGACAATCATCTTCCTACCGGCAGAGGATCATTATGTCTCATACGAATTACCGTCAACTGAACATGAAGCCGTGAGATTGGATTGGACCGATGGCCTTTCGTAACTGTATGGTTATAACGTGGAACGTTCTTTCTTCCTTACTGGGACAGACGAGGTGAGTCACGTGACCTTTCAGTTGAGATTTACACCCAGATTTACAGACTGTTACTTGGGGACTCAAGTTTGCGCAGAGTGCTCGATTCTGTTCTGCATATCTGCTGGATCCTGGTGTATATGCGTTTGGCCGGGCGATCCGACAAAAATAATCGAAACATATACGGCTAAGTCCAAGCTCAGAGCTTGGTGAGCAGCAGGCACTCTGGGTGGTAGATGACTACTCAGATAAAATAGTCTGACTAAGCAATGGTAGACCAGTGCTTCAGACCAGTCTTAGCTGGTTCTAAACAAGTATTCCGTCTTACTGGAATTCATTAGATGGCCCTTTTGGACCCTTGATAGGGTCCAAAAGCCGTTTGTCTGCATAAAAACATCAACGAGCACTGATTAGCCAGAAAGCGGTAAAGAACAAAAGGGCGACAGAGATGTTGGGAAGAGTCAGAGCACCCTTTTGCACTTTCAACTGCAAGCGTTCCATACAGACCAATCAAACTTTTGATAGCACACACCTGTCACTAGTGAAGGTTGGCTGAACAACTTCAAAGGCCGTTTAGGCCTGAATCCGCATTGACGAGTCACTAGAAGTCATATTAAGTTGAACTTGTTCCAAGGAGCGCCTTGAAGAGACTCACCTACGATCGACTTATCTTCAGCGAACTGTTGGTTTCCTTTACTGTGATTAGAGGAACTCCATTGTAATCCATTGCAATTGTAAAATAGTTTGGGTAGAAACTACTCAACCCAGTGTTTGACCGACCAGACTTGTAATTTTTAAGGGTCTTCATTAACAGGAGAATTCAGATGTAACGACCATATAGGGTCATAAAGGAAACTACTCACAAGGTTGCTAACAACTATTCGGCAGATGACGACCGGTTTCGCCCTTCTTGGGGCGCATCAGGTAGACGCGGTCTCCGAGTTTCCGTCAACCTTATGTTCTACTTGGACCCAAATTTCACTGTTCTCGAGAAATAAACTCATTTGCAAATCAATTTGGTTTTCACGAAAGATTCAACTGAATCTCTCGTTTGTGATACTCTACAACTAAATGTGCTGCATACAGGCCGCCTCAAGTTTCAGTTAGCACGATATTCGTGGTATCGCACTATATTTTCATGAAGGAAACTACTCACAAGGTTACTGAAAACCAAACTGATCTGCAAATAAGTGTATTTCTCGAGAGCATATGGGGGCTTCGAGTACCGCGAGAACGCGCACTCCCTTTCGTATGCGTTCCAAAGATAAACTGTCTGAATCGATCTTTGTGCCAACTGCAGGACGCTTTAGCAGCCGAGTGAATCCGAGCTCTTTTAACAAAGGAATACACTTTGAGCAGCACAAGGTCGCCTGAAAGTTCACCCCCTATACTACTGAACTCATTGGTGTATGCCTGACCAACAGCCTGATATTTCTAACCGCATTTCGGTAGCAATTCTGCAGACTTTTACCATTCTCGTTCTGATTTCGTTGCGGGAACGCAAAACCTTTACGGAAGATGGACCCCAAAAAGGCACGACCCACTGCTTCGGAGACCAATACGCTTACCAATCTGCTTTCCTAGTGAAGGAAAGTGACCCATGCATGTGATTTTGGACCGGCACAATCAGGCTGTGCACATCATCTGTAGAGAGCAGTGAGCGAATCGCACCTCAGCCACGAAGTCTCACAAACTTGAACGCCCTGAGAAGTGAATCGACGAGAGATAGTGGCGCCTTACTTTAGTGTGTTGGACAACCCCAAGTGAAACAGAAAACTGGTACGCGTAACTATTCTACGTTGTGCAGTTCGGCGAAACGTCTTGCTTGTTTCACTCCAAGATCAAGCTCATTACTTTAGAAAACCAATGTTTGTTTTTTACCATTCATGATTGTCCGTGATTGCATGCAGAGTATCGAGGTTACCTGCCGACTCACAGGGGTGGTAACCTTTAAGCAGTTATTCTAAAGTGCAGTTCGACGTGAGTCGCTCTCGTAATCGTAACCCCGATTGTTTCCGACGGATACTCAGGCACCAAGAACAGGTGTCCGAATCTGTAATTTCGTTACCCAACGTCCCGAACTGTTTTCAGACGAGAGATGGACAAAGAGAAAGGCCAATGACTGATAACCACTACAACTGAAATGTTGATGTTTTAGTAGACCCGCGATACAACAGTGCCCCCCCTGAGCATTGTGCTGCGTTCGCTGCCAGAATTGATCGTCAAGATGCAAAGAAAAAAGGGCTGGCAGCTATGTGAACTGCGGTTCAGCTCCGAGCATCTTTCNAACCTTTTGAAGTACTGTGAGTTTGTGTGGAACCTCGTGCGCGAATTCCGTACCAAAATCCTGCTCTGCCGGGTTCGATAGCGGAACCACGCATAAGCATATATGACATTAGTTTCCGTCAACGTAATGCACATAGACCCTAAAAATATGGGCTTCAAAGTTCGTTAATATTACTAATTTATATAGTTTCAGAAGTTTGTTAACAAAAAATGAAAATGCACTGATTCGATGCTTTTGAGAGATTTTTGTAGTTAGAGTGGTAATGATTGAAGTGACGGTGAGACTGTAGAAATAGGGTGGCTTAGACTAGTTTGCAACTCATTGTGCATTCAGGTCCATCTAAAGGGACTCCCCTGAAATAAAGCTTAGGTGAGGTTATCTTCCTTGCTCACTGATTGGTGTCTGGGTACGTCTGTCGGGGAACATGGAATGGTTAACATATCCCACTGACCCTCTGGTCTACCCAGATCATATCGGTTCCCCCCAGTCAGTTGGGTGACATTGCTACTACACTGTATGCCCTTAAAGACGATTCGGTGAGGCTGACTTGCAATCGAACCAAATTGTTCTCTTGTGTGGAAAGTTCTCTCCCAACAGGTTCCTCTGAACACAGTCACTGAGTTCGCACAACCTTAATTTTTGCTGCCACGCGACAGAAAGCAATCAGAACATGAGCTGACTAACATTTACCGGACGGAGCTTACTTTATTTGACGTTAGAAACTTGCCCTTTACAAAACATTTTTTCACATAGGAAACAGCAGATAAGGAAACAGTAGTTGGTTCCGAAGGGTGTCCATTATAGGCACAATTCTATCAGCTGCGAAACCTTTACAAGTGGAGTAAAACTTTCCACACCAAAATATTACATTTTGTTGCGTATGTGCTCAAACCAAATACCGTCCTAATCTACATTCATATTTTGGCAGCTCACAAAATTTCATTGTTCACTGAAGCAACCATCCCTCTGGCTGAAAAGTCCTGTGCGATAACTTCCCAGCATTGCTGAGACCCCGGGATGCCTAAATAAGGCTTCAAAGTTTGGTCTGGTACTCTCAACCCAGTTGCCCGATTGCTTTAGCCCATCAGAGAAAAGTCATGACTTTCAAAAATTCAATTCCATTGTGCGAATACTGAGCGCCGTTCGAATGCGAATCACTTTGTATCTCGTGCGCTGATCATAGATGATGTTTGACTGGGACGGCTGGCAAGAATCACGAACTAGTGGCAATCGATTGTTTTTTTGGTCCATTTTTCACTTTATCTACGAAAATCGATTTGTTCAATGATTCAAAAATAATGCAGACAGTTACACAAAGTCATCTGTAGTATTGAAAGCAACCGAAGAATCAACTAAACCAAATTACGTGTTTGTAATTATAGATTGTAAGTATGGGACGCATTATTTTTGGTGAAAGACCAAGTGGAACGAGGTTACTGAGTTTAACATGATCTAAAGCGCGCCTTTGGAAAAGTGGGTACGGTTTTGATAAGCCCAGAATTTCCTTCACTGCTGTGTCCACATGAAACCGAAACTATCAGCATGGGAGGAACAGAAGTGCGATTTCTGGTGTTTCAAGGACGCGGTTTGACCTCCAGCGCTGCTTTTCGTCGTGGAGCCAGTGGAATCCATTTGGTTCCAGTGCCTCAGCGACTGATGCCACACGAAAGGAGTAATTACTGGTTGCTTGTGTGACTCCTGATCTGTTCGTCAAGTCCAGCAGTTTGCTTGCAAACGTCTCATCGCCATTTGTGCAAATATCAGCCACAAACTGATGATGCCTTCCCTTTTGTAAGCACACCAAACGTAGGAAGAACTGGTCTCGACCCTAGCTTATTGAAGCTCGTCAGCGGTGCTTGGGTTAGAATTCCAAACACTGGACATGCGAGGCAAGCGTTTCATCGCCATTTGTGGAAACATCATCCATAAACTGACGATGCCTTCCCTTTTTGTAAGCACATCAAACGTAGGAAGAACTGGACTCGACCCTAGCTTACTGAAGCTCGTCAGCGGTGCTGGGGTTAGAATTCCAAACACTGGACATGCGAGGCAAGCGTGTACTATTACTCCCCCAGCACACGTTGGAAGCAGTGAATTTCCAAGTTTGAGCAGGCAAACGTTCTCTCGCTTGAGCGGCCTAGTAACTATGACGATCGGTCAAGCGGTCAACTCCCCAGTCAATCAGCTTAAAAACCACAAGAAAAAGTTGTCAGAACTAGTACGCAATATGCATGAGTAGTTGGTTTCATAATCGTGAAGACCTGGTCAGAAAGGCAGTGTAACTAGTTACAACTATGTTAACTTCATGTCATCAATAGGTATAAGTCTGACACTAATCAGTCCAGCGAAATTTGTTAACCAGTTCAATTATATTTGTGCATTCTCATACTTGAGTAAGGATAAATCGATCAAGATTTCTATCCATAGCAAGGACGTTAACTGTTATGATTGTGGCACCTCTAATTACTGTGATTATGGCACCTCCTAGGGTTTCACATCAACGCCCGACATTCTGTAAACGGGGTCATTGGCAAAAAACAGCTTCAGCAACCTTATCAGTGGTGCATTACTAATATACATGTATCGCGATATGTCGAATATCGTAGCGACTGAAACATGCATCGGCCTGGTGCAGCACATTCAGTTGCCTGGAAACATCAAAACCGAGAGATTCGGCTGGGTTGCAGGTGATTCTCTCGAAAAAGCAAATTAGTTTGCAAATGAGTGTATTTCGCCAATTTCGTGCAATTTGGTTTCACTTAGAACATAAGGTTGATGGAAACTCGGGGACTGCGCCTACCTGATGAGCCCCAGGAAGGGCGGAACCGATCGTGGGCTGTCGATGAATTTTCAGCGGGCTTATTTGTAGTGCATTACGGGGTGGTTAAACTTTTTGGTGAATTCTGCATCCACAATCTATATGTGAGTGTCACTTCACATATCAGGTAGTCATTACCAGTTCATAGGGCTTCCGACTGACTCACACGTGCAGTATTTATTCGTAGTACTCAAAAAAAATTCCTCTTGGAAGTAGTTAACATGTGACTGTCCAAAAAAGCACCTACCGCTGCGATTGGGTGATCGCGTGCGATTACCCCTCATATCTCGCTGATTTTAAACGCTTTGCATACTCTTCCGTCTTCGCACATTTTTTGGCTACAGTACCCATTCTCGGTTTATTTTATATTCTATTGTAGATTTATCGGAAAGTAGTTTGTTTCATCGCTGAGCCCTTCAGCCACGAGCGACTGATCAACAGTGTGCTTAGCTCGTACCTAGACAAGCAATAAAGTTATACCGAAGAGTGTAACTCATATGGAGTTTGACTTCATTGCTGTTTTACTCACTTCTCCCATGTTGCGTCAAAGACCGAATTTTCAAGGGGAGCTTGCAAAGCGCTTTGCTTGACCTGCGGAGCCTACATGCGGCGTTGCGCATGATTTCTACGGTCCAACCTAAGTCCGTTGCGTACGAACACGAATTTTGTGCGTGGGGCGCAGTAGTTCACCAATTCGAGCAATCTTGACAACAACTGACCTGTTTCCTGTATTGTTGGATCATCTGTTCCATGACGTGAACGATTTATGTGCTATTGCACTTCACATTGCGCTCCACTTTATTACGTTGGCTTGGCCACATGCTCCCTATGCCAGTCGACCGACTTCCTCAAAGGTTTTTTCTTACAGAACCATGCGAAGGGTGGAAGCGAGCCGCGGGAGGTCAAACACTGACTACGAAGCAAAGTGTGAAATTCATTACAAGAAGACTCATCTGCCCCTCCCTGGATTGGGATCCCGCGACGGGCCACATGAATGATTAGGGACATTGTCATACTTCCCTCACTCAAAAGTCCACCGACAAACCTGTATTTATGCACCAGTTTATCAGCTCCCGCCTTCAATGTGCAGCTACCAATCCTAACTCCAAAAATCATCGATAGACGGAACAATGGAAGCCCCAATCACTGTACGACAAGTACCTTACAGCTGACAAGGATGATGATAATGACACTGAGGTTTTTGCTTCGTCTGAGGAACTAACTTTGTCTGCAGGTGACTAGATGCCAAAAAGGCGAGTTTGCCATCCTGTGTTAGTTTCTGTTATGCTATGACGTTTGTACACAGAACACCCAAATACGATTATTCATTTATTTCTTTAAATTTCCCCTTCCGACATGAATTTATTTGGTTTTTTATGACAATCTGAGAAGATTTTGTAATGTTCAGTAAAAATTTCATCCAATAGGTGGAGGCAGGCTATGCTGAAAGTCAGAAACCTGTACCATAGAGCTGTTCCAACCTTGGTGGAAATCATCAGCAGTGCGGATCCCGCGAAACTCAGTGAGTTCGAATCCGGAGTGTTCCGGCCAGTGGCTGAGATGTTGACCATTTGGCGACGATCAGTAATCTCACTAAGTGGGGACGCTGTTGAACACCGTTCGTTATGTTGAACCATTTTTTAAAAAGGGATTATCTCTCTGAATTTGCATCTTACATGATCGCCCTTGTGGCTCAAGCAAACCTTGAAATATGTGGTAAACATCGTGATTTTTCGCTTGGCAAAGTTATGTACAGGCAGTGGGTTCTATTCTTATTCAGAAGGTATTTTGTGCATTTGCATCCATGATCAAATTTAAGAAATCAGTTCACAAAAACGGTGTTTTTTCCTCCTCCAAACATAGCGCGACCGACGGGGGTGCGGATTGATAGTCTTGTTTTCCTTACAAAACAGAGTTTCTTCACTTTATAGGTAACAGTTTACCCACACTTACGGATGGTTTTCACTAAAATACCTCTACGATTGATGGCTTTTGAGACTGGTAGCAAGGATTATTCTGGAAGCGGTTTTGCTTGTGATTACCAGAGTAGCCTCTTCCAACAAGAGGTTCGCAAGCTGGCTAGTGATCGTCTAAATGATATGATGGTAACTGTAAGGGCGGCTCCAGGAATAAAAGTGCAAATGAACCACTTGATCAGCCTCATTTCAGTTGAGCACAACACAATCAAAGTAAATGACCTGGTTGTTCCCTTTGATGAAATATCAACCCGCTGAAAAGATTACATCTAGAAAGATGGAACAAATTCTTTGTATCAGCTGGTTCCATGCTTGCGAGAAACTACGAGAGTAATCAAATGAGAAAAATTCCTCAGTGCTCACATCTGTCGTGCTTTTGACTGTCCTTCTAAAATTCGCTTGGTGACCGATGAAAACATACCAGTATTTGTGAAGATTTAATAATTCATACATTGAATCCCGTAACAATGTTTGTTTATCTGCAGGCGACACGAAAACAAAAAACCAGTTAGTTGCAAGCAGATGGACAAAAAAAGTTGAGTTCTCATAACTATGCGAAACTGACTGCCACCTGTTTTAAATTCAATCGCCAAAAGAGAAAACCGTGGTTCTGGGCATCTTTTGTGGACTAAATGTAGCCAATTTCGCTTTCCTGTGTGCTTACTAGTGTTCCTAGTCACGTCAAAAGATTGCCCATCTACAAACAGCGCCGATTTAGGAGTGCATTAGAAACGGCGGCTATTGTGTACCCCTTCAGGACTTTTTGTTCTATTT